AAGCGAAGCGAGCGAGCGAACAGCCACTCAGAAGGAGAGCCAGAACCGATACTCCCAAGCCCGGTGGCGCTGGAAATCCCGGTGGCGACCAGCAAGTAACCGCAGCCAAAATGGCGCGGCGGCGCAGCCAAAATGGCGACCAGCAAAGGGCTAGCGGGGATACTTTTTAGTCAGCGGCCGTGGGCGAGAGCGCCGGCGGCGAGTCAGGTCAAAGCGGCCTACGCAGAGACGAATTGGCCAAGGGAAGCGCGGGAAGAACAAACAGAGCGACGGGCGAGGCGACAACTAAGAGCGGCCGAGGCCTCAGATGGGGGGCTGCCGGGACTGAGCTGAGGAGAACTGCCGCGTGCACAGCTGCAAATCAATCGGAAGCGTCACGCGTCGGAAAGTCGACGACGGCCAGGGACAAATCCGAAAGAAAAAATGTGACACCGTACCTCAGACGTCGGCGTGGGCACCAGGGTGACCGTGGCCAACGAAACGCCGGTCGAAGTCGTGAAAAGAAATGCAAAGGCGAGGCCCCGGACGGCGCGAAGCGCGGAAACCAGGGTGGTCCAAAGGACCGTCGACCACCGAATTGTTGCCAGAGGCGAGACGTTGGCAGGCTGCAACTCCCAGGGTGGCGGAAGCCGAGAGACCCCTGGCAGCAGCGCGCACGAGTGCGGGGAAGCGGCATAGCCTCGACGCAAGCCAAAATGGCGCGGGTCACCACGTACCTGTGCGACAGGGTTTCAGGTTGACCCGGCGCGAGCCCGTCGAGGCACTACGCACAGGGCAAACACCAATGAGGACGAGCGTGCGAGCACCTCCAAAGAACGAAGACCGAACGAGGACGACCCGCACGTTCGGAGGGGAAGACCAGCCGAAGCCAGGACGGCGGCTCGCCCGACATGAAGAACCGCGATTTGAGCGGAAAGGCCGAAGCCGAAGCGGTGGGGGGACAGCACCACCACCCGATAGGGCCCGAGAGGAACCGCGAGTTGCGCGGAATGAACAAGCTAGTGGGGATACGCGAAGCGTCAAGAATTTTTGTTTGGCCCCCAGCGGCTTTGCCACGTGATGACAGCGGTGGAATTGTATGCTTGTTCACCCGCGCTAGGCGGGCCGCGTGGCGAACAGACTGGAATAAAATGTTTCTCAGCCCCCGCGGCGCTGCCACGTGACGAGTAGAGTGGAAGAACATTTGTCGCCCACCAAGGCGTTGCCACGTGGCGAGACGCACATTGCTTTGCAGTGCGTTGCATTGCAGTGCATTGCATTGCATTGCGTTGCACTGTATTGCATTGGATTGCGCTGCATTGCAGTGTCTTGCGCTGCATTGCATGCACTGCATCCTGTTGCAATGGACTGCGTTGCATTGCGATGCATGTGTACTGCACCGAGCTGCGTTGCATTACATTGCATTGCATTGCCTGTTGCGTTGCCTTGCATTGCACTGCGTTGCGCTTGCGTTGCAGTTGCAATACATTGCATTGCAGAAAATTGCGGGCGAGGAGGAGGAGGAGGACAGGGAGGGAGCAGAAGCGAGGAAGGTGCATAGAAGAGGGGGGGAAGGAAGACGGGTGAGGAGAAAGGAGGAGGAGGGGAGGTGGAGGGGAGGGGAGAACCGGCCAACCACCAGGGCAAGCGGGCAACTGGCCACCCAGCCACCCAGCCAACCAACCAACCAGCCAACCAACCGAGCAACCAACCAACCGACCATCGACCAACCAGGGCTGAACGTAAACGGTGTTGTTCGTTGTCGCTTTGTTTTCGTTTTCCCTCGTTTTGTCTTCAATACGCCGTTACCGCAAAACGAAGTCGAAACGAAAACGGCCCACGAAATCGCCAAAACACCGTTTCGGTCCAGCCCTGCGACCAGCCATTCCTGGGCAGAAGGGAAGCTGGCTAAACCGCCAATCAGACAACCAGCCATCCAGCCAACCAACCAACCAACCAATCCGCCCGCCAACCAACGAACCAACGAGCGCCAACCTCCCAATTGGCCCGGCACTCGGCCGGCCGGTCTCCCCATCTGCCCACAAACCAACCCGTCCTTCAATGGGGTTGTTGGGAATGTCCCGGACGTCGGGCCCCGGACAAAAAACATTGCCAAGGAAAAGATCGTTGACTCTCATCAATTACGACCCTGCAAGGGAACACCTTTCTATCTCTTCTCCAGCATCCGAGGGGCCCGGGCATGTCCTCCTACAGGCGGATGTTGGAAGACAAATCAGAGGTTGTCAAAGAACAGTCGCCTGTCTGTTTGAAAACTAGTGTTGACTAGTCCTCCTGTCGACGGGCATGCCCGACTGAACAATAGGCACAAAACACGAGCGGAAGGGCAAGGCGGAGTGACGTGGAGCCGCAGGTGGCGGAGCATGCTCGGAGCAGGATGCTCTCGTGCGTGGTTGCCAGAGCACGGGGAGCACGGTCCTGCAGGGGCAGTGCGGCAGGCTCGTGTCGTGTCGACCCCGGCGTTGGAGCCTGAGACCGCGGGGAGCGCTCAACCCTGAACGATCGGCCGTGTCCGAAGCGTCAGATCTTTCAGCATCGACCGACCCTGTAACAGGGAATATGTCGACCCCTATCCCAGGCTTCGTGGGGTTTCCGAATGGACCAGAAATTTGGGGCCTAACCCTGGGATATACGATGGGGGGGTGTCCATTCTCGATAGGGGTGCGTCCGAATAGCCCCCTTGGGGTGTATCCCAGGGTTTTCCCATTCTTCTGAGCGGCCAGACTTTTCGGGCGAAACTCGGGGATTGGGGGAGAAACATCGCCTGCGACCCTGGGTCGTCAGCGGCGGCCCCTGTTCAACCGCAGCGGCGGGGTCGCCGCTGGTCGACACGACGCCAGAACCCACCGCAAGTGGGCGTCGTTGGCGGCCACGGGACCAGGGGCAGCAGGCGCCCGGGTGCCCGGGAGCCTCGACGGCCAGGGAGCCACGGGAAGGCGCCCGAGCGCACGAGCGCCCGCAGGGCGCGAGGCCCGGAAGGCGGCGGAGAAGGCGAAGGCCTGGGGCCGCAGGAGAGCCACACCCCGAGATCCCCAAGGCGAGCAGTACACGTCGCACCAGGCGGGTGGGGGGCCTGGGCGGCCTTCTCCCTCGCGTGGGCAGGGCACCGGAGGGAGGATGGGGGCCGAGGCGGCCGAAGGGGCCGACGAGAAGCGAGGAGGGAGGAAGCGAGAGAGGCAGGATAAAGCAGTGGCGACCAGGGGGTATGACGTCGTGCCGCTCCAGCGCGCGGTACCCCTACGAGCGATGTGGATGCAGGCTCCACTGTTGCAAGGGCTGCCGGCGGGACGCCACGGCCGAAGGACGGCGGGCACAAGGAAGGAGGAGGAGGAGGAGGAGGAGGAGGAGGAACAGTAGAGAAGGGAGGATGAAGAATACAGAATCATGAAATACGGCGACGGCGACGGCGACGACGAGGACGATGGCGACGGCGACGGCGACAACGACGACGAGGCCGAGGACGACGACTACCACCACGACGGTGACGACGCCGACGACGACGACAACGACGACGACGACGACGGCGACGGTTCTCCGCATCAGCTCTCCGCTCTCCACTATCGCTGGTACTCGAACCACATATTGCTATGCTGGTGGAGGAGAAAGAAGACGATCCCCGCCTCCCCTCTGCGAGCCTTCCCCCGCCCCCCTCCCCGATCACCCCCTCTCCCCATCGCCGTCCCTCCCCCCCCCTCTCCCCGCCCCCCTCTGCGAGCCCTCTCTGCGAGCCCTCCCCCGCCCACCTCCCAGATCCCCTCTTCCCCGATTGCCCCCCTTCCCCCCGATGCACCCCCCCTCTGCGAGCCCCCCCCCGCTACCCTTCACAATTACTCTATATGAAAATACTCTCCCTCTTCCCCTGATGGCGTCCGGGTGATGGCCGCGCACCCTCCGCGTACTGCGTCCGGGTGATGGCCGCGCATCCGCGTACTGTTTTTTTACACACAAGATGCCCGGGAAATCCTGGGAAACGACTCTCGCTGAGGCGCTGGCGTCATTCTTTCCCAAAATGCTGCTCTCGTTGAAGCGCCGGCCTCATTTCTGCTCCCGAATCGTTCCGAATCGTGCTCCCGCTGAGGCGTGGGCCTCATTTTCGGATCGGTGTTTGGCCTCCGTCGTTCAGGATGGCGTTCTCGCCCCAGCGCGGGTTTTTTTCTCGCGCGCCCATCCGCCCGCCACCACCGCGCCGCACCGCCACCACCACCACCACCACCACCACCACCACCACCACAACCACCACCAGCACCAGCACCAGTACCACCACCACCACCACCACCACCAGCACCACCACCACAATCACCACCACCACCACCACCACCACCACCACCACCACCACCACCACCACCACCACCACCACCACCACCACGACAACCACGCACACACGCACGCACGCACGCACGTGCACCACCACCCACTACGCACGCGCGCGCGGAGCCACAGGTCCGCTACGACACGCGTCCGCGGATAGAGAAAATCAGCGCCATGGTAAGGGATGGGAGGGAGGGGTAGGACGTCAGATAGGACGCGAGCGCACCTAGCTTGACGATCCCCCTCCCTCCCCTCCCCGATCCCCTGCCGAGTGGGCGCCTCGGCCTCCTCCTCCTCCTCCTCCTCCTCCTCCTCCTCCTCCTCCTTCTCGTCTTCCCCTGCTCCCCTCCCCGATCCCCCACGCCCCCACCCCCTCGTCCTCCCTCCCCCGCTCCTCTCTCCGATCTCCCCTTCCCGCTCCCACCAACCTCCCCTCGGTCCCCCCTCCCTTCTCGGGGCGTCCAAGAGGGGGGGAGGGGGGGGGGGGGGGTGGGGCGCAAATCATGCCTGGCGCGGCCCAGGGGGGATGGGGGGCCAGGAACCAAGGGACGCCACGAAATCTGGGGAGATACCATGGCCCACGCCATGATATTCACCCCCCCCCCCCTGATCATCACCCCCCTCTCGGCCGCCCCCGACCTTCCCGCCCTCCCCCAGCCCCCCCGGCTCCACCCCGTCCCCGCCAGAGGGCGGGCGTCTCCTTCAGCCGCGCCTGAATGGACAGGCGCTGGAGCTGGCCGCCTCGGCGGCGGGCGGCAGGTGCAGAAGGGCGAGCAGCGGCGGCACCGCGGGGGAGGAAGGGGCGGGGCGAGGAGGAGGAGGAGGAGGAGGAGGAGGAGGGAGGAGGAGGAGGAGAGGGAGGAGGAGGAGGAGGAGAAGAAGGAGGAGGTCGTAGGATGAGGAGGACCAGGAGGAGGAGGGATGAGGAGTAGGAGGGCGAGGATTGAACGGAGGAGGAGGAGAGAAGGAGAGTAAGGATAGAGTATTGCGGTGTTGGGTGAGGGGGTCGGGAAGCGGGGGTAAAATGTAGGGGTGGTATTGTATATTGAGGTGGGGGGCGGGGGGGGGTGATTGGGGAGGGAGGGTGGGGGAGTTGGAGGGAGGAGGAGGAGGAGTAGTATGGGGAAGAGGAGGGAGGAGGAGAAGGGTATGGAGGATGCGGAGTGAGAGAGGGAGGGTGAGGAGAAGGGAGGTGAGGGAGGAAGGAGTAGGAGGAGGGTATGGGTCGAGGATAGGGAGGAGGAGGGAGGAGAGGAGTAGAGGACGGAGGAGAAAGGAAGGAGGAGGGGGAGCAGGAAGGAAGGATGAGGGAGGAGGGGAGTGAGGGATGAAGATGAGGAGGATAGGTAGGAGGGGAGGAGTGGGGAGAGGAGGTGAAGGTAGGGAGAAGGAGAGGAAGGAGTAGGGATGAAGGCGAGGATGGCTGGGTGGTCGATGAGGAGAAAGGGAGGGATGAGGGGGTGGGACGAGGAGGGAGAGTAGGAAATGAGGATGGAGAGTGCGAAGAGTGAGTAAGGGGGGGTGGGGGGGGTGGTGAAGAGAGGAGGGGTAGCTTTTTTAGTCGGCCTACTGTTTCGGAGGTTCGGTTCCCCGCACTAGACCCGCCACCCCGAGCAGGCACAGGAGCCCCCACTCGACATGGCGAGCCCGTGGATTTCTCTCTCAGTCAGTTCCACCGCCGCTCGACGGCCCTCTGGCCAGCGAGGGCCCACTCCTTGGTGCCAGCACTGGCACACAAGGGTTCACGTCGGCGGGCCTGCGAGCGGCGGCGGCGGCGGCAGGCGCACAGGGCTGCGCCTGCGACACGCCGCTGGCGGTGACCTCCACGACGTCCTCCTCGTAGAGCTCCAGCTCGAAGTACACATTGCAGCCTAACCCCTCGCCGCGCAGGGGAACATTGTGGCCTAACCCCTCGCCACGCGGGGGGAAAACGCGGTCTAACCCCTCACCGCGCTGGGGTTGGTGGCCTAACCCCTCGCCACGCAGGGGGAGCATACGGTCTAACCCCTCACCGTGCTGGGGATCGCCTGACCCCGCAGTCTCGCCCTGCGAGGGTCGGCTGCGGTCTAACCCCTCACCGCGCTGGGGTGCGACGTACTGCTTTCCGTACTGCTCCCTCTCATTGACGCGGTCTAACCCCTCACCACGCTGGGGTGCTTTCCTCCACTCGGAGCGGTCGTCGGGCTGCCCCTGGCTCGTGGAGATCGGGTCGTGGTGCTCATGGGGCCGCACCCCCACTATCTCCTGTCCATCATGACGCCGCCCTTCGATCCTTTGTTCTCCTTCGCCTGGAGGGAGTCCTTCATCGTCGATACGGCCTAACCCCTCGCCGCGCTGGGGTGCAGTGTCGTCGTCCTCCTCGTAGAGCTCGAGCTCGATGTAGTCGCCTGCCGCGGCCCTGGCTAACCTGCTCGAGCACGCCAGTGTATGTTCCCATCGGCCTAACCCCTCGCCGCGCTGGGGAGCGTCGTGGCCTAACCCCTCGCCGCGCAGGGGAACATTGTGGCCTAACCCCTCGCCACGCAGGGGAAAAACGCGGTCTAACCCCTCACCGTGCTGGGGTTGGTGGCCTAACCCCTCGCCACGCAGGGGGAGCCTACGGTCTAACCCCTCACCGTGCTGGGGATCGCCTGACCCCGCAGTCTCGCCCTGCGAGGGTCGGCTGCGGTCTAACCCCTCACCGCGCTGGGGCGCGACGTACTGCTTTCCGTACTGCTCCCTCTCGTTGACGCGGTCTAACCCCTCACCGCGCTGGGGTGCTTTGCTCCACTCGGAGCGGTCGTCGGGCTGCCCCTGGCTCGTGGAGATCGGGTCGTGGTGATCATGGGGCCGCACCTCCACTATCACCTGTCCGTCATGACGCCGCCCTTCGACCCTTTGTTCTCCTTCGCCTCGAAGGAGTCCTTCATTGTCGATACGGCCTAACCCCTCGCCGTGCTGGGGTGCAGTGTCGTCGTCCTCCTCGTAGAGCTCGAGCTCGATGTAGTCGCCTGCCGCGGCCCTGGCTAACCTGCTCGAGCACGCCAGTGTATGTTCCCATCGGCCTAACCCCTCGCCGCGCTGGGGAGCATCGTGGCCTAACCCCTCGCCACGCCGGGGTCCCTCACCCGCTGGGCTTGATGCTGCCGCCGATGCGCTTGTCGCCGTGGAGACTCTGCACGTCCTTCTTGCAGGTGACGTGGCATCCGTACTCCCAGCAGTCGCCCGCTCAAGCCTGCAGCACCAGCTGCCGCGACTGAGGCCAGCTTCCACGGGGTCTCCTGCTTGATGATCGTCATCTGATTCAGGCCGTCGTGGGAGGGCGGCCTTTGTCCGTCTGGCGCCCGATATCCTAACGCCCTGCGGAACATGCCTCGTAGCCGTGCTAGTTCACGCCGATGCCGATGAGCCAATCTACGATACTCTTCGGGTTCTGTCTCTGGCGCATGGAGTCGTTCGTAGAACTCATCCCTTCTCGCCGTTGTTTGTCTCCACGCACTTCCGCACTGCTGCTCGATGATCTGTTGCATCGTCTGCCCTGGGAACCAGCGCCTCAATGTGTGGCACAGGGGGTGGTTGTTCTCGTCGGTGAGCATCTGCGTGAGCATCGCTACGCACCACTCCTGCCAGCTGTCGCTGTCTCTGGCCAAGCACGTAAGATCGTCGTACCACAGTGTTGCCCATTCTCTAAGATCAGCACGCATGTCGGCATAATCTTGTGGCCCCGTGTCCTCAACGATCGGCGGTAGTCCCATCGCGCCTGGATCTTGATCCAATACTCCATTGCTGTCGTCCATCCTGCAATTGTCGTCGTGGTTATGGCTGTCCACTACGTTCTGACTCCCCCCACGGTCGGTACTTTCAGCACTCGTGGCCAAAGGGGCTGCGTGCATCCAGTGCGTGCCGTGGGGGGCAGATTCCGATCCAGCTGCATGACGACGATCTGTACGGTCTAACCCCTCACCGTGCTGGGGTGTGAAGTGGCCTAACCCCTCGCCACGCTGGGGTACGCCTCGGTTTGACTCCTCCCCGCGCAGGGGCGCTTCGCTGAAGAAATCGTCGATGTCCCTCTGCACCTCGGGGTCGTCGTAATCCTCCAACTCCTGTGACCTCGGCTCAGGCAGAGGCTCGCACTCGCAATCTGTTGGGTGTACCGCTGCTGGCCGAATACGAGCCACTGGTGTCTTTCTCGTAATCCGTCTCGGTCGGGGTGTAGGGTGTGGTTCTGGAGGGGGCACATTCCCAACCAAAGGGCCGCCGTACTCATGCGGCGCTAGCCGTTCTTGATCATGTAGCTCACGCACCTGCCTAGCTATTTGGGCCTCTTGTGCAGCTCGCGGTGGTTCTTTCCTGTAGCCAGGGTAGCGTCCGTCCCGGATCTTGTTGAGCGCATCCTGCCCGTACTTGGTGATCGTCTCGCTGCACTGCTCGCGTAGCCTTTTCCCAATGGTCGTTCCATGTGCTGCGCACCGCGCACAGAATAGCAGTCCGTACCGCACCCATTCACTGACCACGTGGCTGCAATGTATCTTGCCATTGCCCATGAACCTGTCGCCCTTTACCTCGACTATCTCGTTGGCCGTGCTGTATGTAGCGTTGCATTCCGTCATGGCAAACTCCTGCAGGGCGTCCGCTGTGATGTACTGTCTGCAGGCTGTGCAAAACCACTTATTCTTGAGCCTGACCATATCGTGCTGCTTCATCTTGTCGACGACTTCCTTTACTCGGTCCCTCTTGGCTTTGGGCTTGGCTGTGGAGGGCCTCTCAGCGCACCAGGGGTCAATGTTCGCCGTGTCCGCCAAGGCCTGCCTCGCCCGTAATCGTACATGAGCACAGATCGCATCCCATTCGTCTGTCCGTGGTATTGGCGTGCACACTCTTTCCCAAGAAGCTTCTGCCGCAACCGTAGCTAATGCGTCTGCAAAGCTGTTGCCCATCGCAAAAATTGGGTTGACTAGCTCAACCTCGTCCTCGTCCTGGTGCGACGGGGTCCACCCCACTCCGATGTGTCTGGGGGACGTGTCCATCACCGCCCTCTTGATGCGTGCCCATAAATCCGCGTTCTTCCCTCGCCCAGGGTCTTGAGCTCTGCCTTTTGTCCAAGCTGTGGGGAGCGGGTAGTGGTCCGTGACGTAAACAATGTCTCCTCTCGTTTCCTCTATGGCGATCGCGAAGGCCGTGATCTCTGCCCGCGGTACGGTTTGACGCCGTCCTGGTAGGTCTGCCATCGTACCTGCTGACATACTCCACTTGCCGTCGATCATCTTCATGGTCGCCACTCCGATGCCTACTCGTCTCCTTCGGGGGTCGCCACCGTAGCAACCGCCTGAGCCATCACCAAATAGATAGAGACTGCGTCCTAGCACTCGAGCTGCTTCGTGGTCGCCGAACCTGACGTAGTCCTGTCTGTCGATGTCGTTGACCACTGGGTGAGTGAGCTCTCTGGGCGGGATACCTCGGAGCCATAAGGTCGGGTTTGCCTCGACGCCAGCGAGCGCCTTTGGCACCAAGTAGTCCGTCTTCTCCTAGTTTTCGTGTCCTGTGTTGGCCGTACAGGTGTAGATGCGGTGGAAGATGGTCTCGGGCTCCTGCTTGCACCTCTCGCAGATGTTCGTGTCGCACTCGTAGCCTGCCTGAATCTGCCGTTGCCGAGTCCATTGTCCACCCGTAACCACCACATTATTGAGTGCCCAATCTTGCCATTCAGCCCGCTGGCTGTATCTTTGTTGCTCCTTACTTATGTGCCATATGTCTCCTCCTCG